AGCGAGGTACTCCAGCCAGTTCCGCCTGAGGGATCCTCGCAACTCTGGGCTCCTATGTTTTGACCTGCGGTGTTCCAGCCAGGTTCGTCTGCGACATGCCGCGCACGATGTTATCCAGCTCATTTCGCCTGAGACATCATCGCAACTCTGAGCTCAGAGATTCCGCGCGAGAGGTGGTCCGGCCAGCATCGCCTGTGACGACGTCGCAACTCTAGGCTCCGAAATGCCGCGTACGAGGTTGTCCAGTTAGTTTCGCCTGGGATGTTCTCGAAATTCTGGGCTCCGAGATACCATACCGCGCAAGAGTTTGTCCAGGCAGTTTTGCCGGAGACATCCTTGCGACTTCCTGGGCTCCGATATACTCTGGCCTGAGGTGGCCCGGCTAGTTTCGCATGAGGCTTCCTCCAGAGATTTGGCTCAAGGATACCAAGCACGAAATTGTCCGGCAAGTTTCGCCTGAGACGCCCTCGCAACTCTGGGCTCAGAGGTGCTCTGACGGGGGGCCTTCCAGGCAGCTTCGCACCAGCCAGCACCTCCCCCCTCCCGCACCCACCCGATCAACCGGGGGATCGCCGACGTGTGAGTCGTGGTCCCCTCCGCTGCTCCTGCCGCCCTCCTCGCCGACCGCCTCCGCCCGCCGCACCGCCCGCCTCCGCCCACCGCCGACGGCCAGCCCCCGCGGCCACGCCGAGGTGTCCGGCTTCCCGCGCCCGCTCTGCCTGCGGGCCAGCAGCCTCGAGGACCCCGGGGTGTGCGGCCTGGGGGCAGGGGCAGCGCCAGTGGGGAGTACACCTTAGGCGATGCTTAAGAAAGCCTAAATTTTCGGCCAGAGTCTCGATCATTCTTAATTTTTCAATATAAATCCCAAGATTTTGATAGAAGTTCTGGGCTTTTATTCCAATTCTGAGACTATGAATTTCTTAACCCATGATTTCTTAAGCATTTCGCAGGGAGTAGGCTCAGAGGGGGGGGGGGGGGTCGACAGTTTCCCGCACTCTGACGATCGTCTTCCGGGCCAGGCTCACGGGGGCATCGACCCCCCTCATCGCCGGTTGACCGCGCACATGGGCCCGATGGCCCACCCCGCCCAAAAAGTTCGCTGTCGCGGGCCTGTCGCCGATCTGTCGGCGATGTATCGTCGATTCAAGCTCGATGCTTCCACCCTACCGTTCCCACTCATGGGGGGGGGGATGGGACGGGCCAATTGGCTGCACATGAGAGTAACCTTTCGCCGGAGTGACGTTTGGTGTGGGCCCACAGGCCCCCCCCCCTAGCACTGGCTTGCGCGCGGGGGCCTTGCGCTCCCCGCGGCCCCCTAAAGCCGCACACCAAAGGTCCTTCCTGCATCGGACCCTTGTCTGCAGTCAATTCAGGGGGTGAAGGCCAGGACCAGGCGGAGCTCTGCCACGATCGGAGATCGGGTCGGAGATCGGCTCGGCAGTTTCTGCACCGATACTTTCAAGAGGCTGCGCCTCGCCGAAAGCGTTCAGGGGGCGCCCGGATCGTTTCGAAGCACATGCCTAGGCCAGGACGTTTTGACACCCCCCTTCCTGGCCCTCCTCTTGGGCGCTGGAGGTCGCCACCACCCTGGGGGTCTGGGCGTCGAATTTTTTCACACCGGGCTTTTTCGCCTGGTCTGAGGCGGCCTTGGGACCCTTCCTGGAACGATCCTGCTCGGGAAAGGCCGCAGGGAGATGGGGCCTATGGCCTATGGCTCCGGCCATGATTGTTCAAGATCTTGTATTTTCGGTGGCGGTGCCGGATCTCGCCATTCAGGGAGGTCTTGAGGGAAGAAGCGGGCTTTGCAGTGTCTTCACTTTTTTTCTGCCTCCTAGGGCGCTCCCGAGGCCCCGGGACTGTCAACACAAATATTGGGAGCAAAAAAAAGTCCAGGGAAAAGCCAGCCCAAGAATCCAGGACATGTCTCAATCTGATGTTGATTGGTGGTGGTGGTGATGGTGATGATGATGGTGATGATGGCAATGCAGTGATGATGATGATGATGATGATGATGATGATGATGATGATGGTGGTGGTGATGATGATGATGATGACAGTGATGGTGGCGATGCTGCTGACGGTGATGATGGTGATGATGATGATGATGATGATCATCGTCATGATGATGACGATGATGATCATGATGCTGATGATGAAGATTTTGTTGATACTATGGATAATCAGGAGCATGACGAGGGTGATAATGGTGACTTTTATCATGATTCATGATGTTGATCACAATGACGAAGACGTTGATGGTGATGGTGATGATGTTCATGATGGTGTTGACGATGACGATGACGATGACGATGACGATGATGATGATGATGGTGATGATGGTGATGGTGATGATGATATTGACGATGATGATGATGATGATGATGATGGTGATGGTGATGGTGATGATGATGATGATGATGATGATGATGATGATGATGATGATGATGATGATGATGATGATGATGATGATGATGATAGTATGATGATCGTGGTGGCACTCATGAACATAATAATCAACAACAGCATTTACACCTCGTCTTCGTGGCAAGGAAGGGCGTGCTCAGGACAGCAGCTGACACGATGATTAGGAACAACCCCAGTCTTGAAAGGCGGTACCCTCGTGTTCTCTTTGTCCTGGGCTCCATACGTTGGATGTGTTTTTTCGTGGTTCTTGACGCACGTGCTTGCGGCCAGACTGCGAGAGCCTCGAGGTAAAAGCACTAGTAGGATTCGGAAATATACAGAAACTGGGACACTCGCATCAGGGTGCGAGGTCGAGCAGGCCCAGGTGGAGCACAGAGGGGCGGCAGGGAGGGCGCTCAGGGCGTTGCCGGAGCGTCCTGGATCGCCCTGCATCGCCTCGGGTCGCCCGCGGCGCCTGGTACACGAGCCAGACCCACTTGCTCTGGACAACTCGCGACTTTGCCTCTGTCGGATCTTGCCCTTTTCTTGGAGTTGTCTCAGCGGGGAGAGCGAGGGGGGGAGCTTGGAGCTCAGGACGGGCGCGCGCGGCAGGTTCGTGTCATGACGACCCTGCGTGGTCGTCGTCTTCGTCGTCGTCGTCATCGTTCGCCGTCGTTTCTCGTCGTCGTCGTCGTAGTCTCCAGTTGTCGTGGTCGTATGCGGAACGCTTCCTCCTCATCTTCGTCATGGTCCGATCCTCCTCCCAAGATGAAGAACAAATGTTGTGTGGCAGCGGCCCATGTTGTGTGGTTTTCGGGCAACGCCAGCCGCTCTCGGGGGGAGAAAATGGCCTCGCTCCCGTGTTCGAGGCTTCTCACTCAGCAAGGCACTGGCTGGCTGTATGGGACAGGAGCAGCGCGAGAGGGGTGGGGGCAGGAGAGAGGAAGAGAGAGAGAGAGAGAGAGAGAAAGGAAACAACATAGAGAGAGAGAGAGAGAGACAACAAAAAAAGCTCCTGGACGTCATGATTTCCTCATAACGTCGACCCCGAGAGGTTTTGACCCATTCCCCGGGACCTGATCTTCCTGAGCAGGTTTTGGTCGGCGAGGCCCAGCGAGGGCCCGTGGAGGCCGAAAATAGCCCAAAACTTGCCGCCGTGATTTCTCTTCTCATGACTCGAGGGGGGTGGAGGAGGAGGAGGAGGAGGAGGAGGAGGAGGAGGAGGAGGCGAAGGAGGAGGAGGAGGAGGAGGAGGAGGCGGAGGCGAGGGAGCATGCGCCGTTTCCAGGCGGCTCCAGCGGCCGACTTCGCTACGCCGCCGCTGCCCTTCACGGCCCTGCAGATCAGCCGGAGGGACGCCGGCGTCGCCCGGCTCGGCGCCCGGGCGCCGGCCGTCAGCCGCATCGGCAGCCTGGACGGCCCGCACGACTTCGCCGAGGCTCAGAAGAGGGAAAGGCACCCATACCGCTACACTTCCCTCGTCCTCGCCTTTTGGGGCGTCCTGGGAGGACCTCGTCGCCACCGCTGGATTCGCCACGAGATCCTGGTCAGAGCGCGCCCCAGGAGAGGCCCGCGGAGCAGCGTGAAGTCGGTATACCTCTTGGTTTCCCCAGAGGCCTTGTGGGGCGTCTACGGGGACATACCGCCGGCGGGCGCCTGGCCCGCCGAGCTGGGCGGCCTCGTGCTGGGCACCCCGGGGCACTGGATCTACTGGCTGGGCCTGGAGCAGGTGTCGAGCGGGGCAGGGGCAGGGCTCGAGCCAGGGGGGCCACATGCGAACCCCACCCCTGCCCCCCACGATTTCTGAGGGGGAGGGTAGGGTTTACTTCGCTCGGGAGCTCCCGAACGAAGTGAACCCCAGCCTCCCCCTCAGAAATCGTGGGGGGTAGGGGTGGGGTTCGCATGTGGCCCCCCAGCTTGGGGGAAAGAATGCACTAAGCATCAACACTTCCAGAGCTCCGCGCGGATCTCTTGGATCGGCGCTGGACCCGCCTGGCGGCGCCTCCGGCGCCGATCCAAGAAATCCGCGCGGACTTCCGACAGTCTATGTTTATGCCGCTTTTCATCGAGGAATGAAAAAAACACCCCTACCCTGGCTTACAAGTGCGTGGCCCGTAAACCTCCTGGGAGCTCCCAAAGGCCAGAGAGCCGCCAGGACGCCGCGCGGCAAGAGCGATACGCAGGGTTTACCCTGTCAGCCCACAGGAGGTTCAGCGCACGGCGCCTCGTAAACCAGGGTAGGGGCTTTTTTCACGCCTTTCATTTCAGTTCATGGTTCCGGAGCGCTCTGGAATGGCCGCGGCGCCCGATACAGTCTGCAGAACCGCCGGATCTCGGAGAGATCCCCGATTAATCCCTGTCCGACCTTGTCCCTGTCCGGGCTTCGCTTCCAGGTGGGCCACCACATCGTCCTGGAGGCGTGCGACGGTGTCTGGCGCGGCTACCAGTGCCGCCCGAGGATTGGCGCTGCGGAGGCAGAGGGCGCCCCGGGCCAGCTGACCAGCTTCGGGGGCGTGGTGGTCGAGGGTGCCAGCCGGGGGCGGCGGGGCTACCCTGCCCGCGAGTGGGCCTCCGCGAGGGCCGAGGCAGACGCGGAGATGGCGGACCTGCGGGTGGCCGTCGAGGCGGACGTCGTGAAACAGCGGGAGAAGGTCTTGGCTGACCCAACAAATGGGGGTCAAGCGGAAAGGGGGTGGCGCAATAGATTTGGTGGAATAGATTCGTCGGGTTGCAACAGTTCAGAGTGAGGGGGCTGAACCGAACGGTCATTCACTGTCCCTGGGTGCGTGGCTGAAGTGGAATTCCGCGATGCGGATTATTGTTGTTATTGTTGTTGTAGTTTGTTGTTTGTTGCTCCCCATATCCTAAGATGGGGTTCTTGTTATTTCTTGGACGCCGCCGACTCCAGAGAACAAGAACACACCCAGAACACATACTTACTCATGCACAGACTTACTCATACTCAGGTTTACTCATACCCCGACGTACTCATACACAGACTTATTAATACCCAGACTTACTAATACACAGACTTACTCATACCCAGGCTTACTGATACTCAGACCTACTCGTTCTCAGACTTACTCATACCCAGACGTACACATACACAGATTTTCTCATGCACAGACTTACTCATACTCAGACTTACTCATACCCAGACGTACTCATACACAGACTTACTCATTTTCAGACCTACACATACTCAGACCTTCTCATAGTCTGAGTTGCTCAACACACGGCAGATGTTGAAGATGTCTCAGGCGGGGCCCTGGCTTCAGCACCCCTAAGGGTAGCCGCCAGGGTGTATATCACCGGCCCCTTCGTTGCCAGTTTGTGGGGATCTCTCAGGCGGTTTGCCTGTTTCGGTGCCCAACATCGTCTGCGTCTACAGCATATGTAAAGGATGTCTCAGGCGGGGCGTTGGTTTCAGCACGCCTAAGGGGAGCCGCCAGGGGGTGTATCACGGGCCCGTTCGCGGCCAGTTTATGGGGATGTCTCAGGCGGTTTGCTTGTTTCGGTGCCCAACATCGTCTGCGTCTACAGCAGATTTGGAGGATGTCACAGTCGGGTCGTTGTTTTCAGCACTCTTAAGGGGAGCCGCCAGGGGGTACATCACGGGCCCGTTCGCGGCCATGTGGGGATGTCTCAGGCGGTCTGCTTGTTTCGGTGCCCAACATCGTTTGCGATTGCAGCAGATTTGGAGGGTGTCTCAGGCGGGGCGCTGGTTTCAGCACTCCTAAGGGGAGCCGCCAGGGGGTACATCACGGGCCCGTTCGCGGCCAGTTTGTGGGGATGTCTCAGGCGGTTTGCCTGTTTCGGTGCCCAACATCGTCTGCGATTACAACAGATTTGGATGTGTCTCTGTCGGGGCGCTGGTTTCAGACTTACTCATACCCAGACGTACACATACACAGACTTACTCATACACAGACTTACTCATATTCAGACTTATTCATACCCAGACGTACTCATACACAGACTTACTCATTTTCAGATCTACACAAACTCAGACCTTCTCATAGTCCGAGTTGCTCAACACACGGCAGATTTTGAGGATGTCTCAGGCGGGGCGCTGGCTTCAGCACGCCTAAGGGGAGCCGCCAGGGGGTGTATCACGGGCCCGTTCGCGGCCAGTTTGTGGGGATGTCTCAGGCGGTTTGCCTGTTTCGGTGCCCAACATCGTCTGCGTCTACAGCAGATTTGGAGGATGTCGCAGTCGGCGCGCTCTTATAGTCAGACACTCATGAACAGACGCTCACTACGGCCTAAGATAAACATGAGATGCACATATGGGGAGCTCCACGCAGTGAGTAATTTGTTGTTGTCGTCGTCCCACCCGCGACCCGCCCCGCGACCCACCCGCGATCCACTCGCGACCCACCCGCGACCCACCCGCGACCCACCCCGCGATCCACCCGCGACCCACCCCGCCTACCCGCGACCCACCCGCGACCCACCCGCGACCCACCCGCGACACACCCGCGACACAACCCGTGACCCGCCCGCGACCCACCCCGAGACCCCCCCGGGGACCCACCCGCGACCCTCCGGCGACCCACTCGCGACCCACCAGCGACCCTCCGCGCGACCCACCCGCGACGTACCCGCGACCCACCCGCGACCCACCGCGACCCACCCGCGACCCAACCGCGACCCACGCCGCGACCCACCCAAAGTTTCGGCGTCTGCGGCGGGTTTCTTTTGCATTCGTTCCTGGTGGAGAACCTGCGACCCACCTGCGACCCAAACCGCGCCCGCGACCTACCCGCGACCCACCCTGCGACCCACCCAAAATTTTCGGCGCCTGCGGCGGGCTTCTTTTGCACTCGTTCCAGGTGGAGAACTTGCGACCCAAACCGCTGCACAAATCAAAATTATCGGCGCCTGCGGCGGGCTGTTTTTGAAATCCTTCCGGGTGGAGGTGGAGAGACCGCGACCCACCCGCGACCCAAACTACGTTCATTGAACAAGACAAAACTTCGGAGCCTGCGGCGGGCTTCTTTTACATTCGTTCCAGGTGGAGAACTTGCGATCCAAACCGCGTTCAGTGTACAAATCATTGTCGGCGCCTGCGGCGGGCTGTTTTTGAATCCCTTCCAGGTGGAGGTGAAGAGCTCGCGACCCACCCGCGGAGGAGGAGGAGGAGGAGGAAAAGGAGGAAGCAGAGGAGGAGGTGGAGGAGGAGGAGGCCGACGACGACGATGAGGACGATGAGGACGAGGACGCGGACGAGGACGCGGACGAGGAGGAGGAGGAGGAGGAGGAGGAGGAGGAGGACGAGGAGCAGAAGGATGAGGAGGGGGAGGATGAGGATGAGGATGAGGATGAGGATGAGGAGGAGGAGGAGGAGGAGGAGGAGGAGGGGGAGGAGGAGGGCGCCATCGACAGTGAAGGTGGGGGCCACGAGGTCCGCCGGCTCGGCGCCCGCGTCGCCCGCGCCCGCCCCCTCACTCTTATCCGCAATTGCGGAATGCTACGTATTGGGGCGTGCAATACATGTCGGTGCACAAGTATATTGCTGGATGATCGCATGCAGTACATCTGATGCAATACAACGTAATACACTTATCCGGCGCAATGCATTTGTAAAGCAATTGCCCCAAGTTTCGTGCACCCCCCCCTATTGGTTCAACCAAAAAGGTGGCCGCCCTGGAGGCCGAGGCGGCCGAGGCGGCCGAGAGGGCCCAGGAGGCCTTGGTGCTCGCCTCCAGCGCGGAGGCGCGGGCCATCGAGCTCGCGGGCGCAGCCGCTCGCGCGCGGGCGAAGCTGGACGAGGCCGAAAGCTGGCTCGCGGAGAGCGTGGAGCAGGCGGCCAGGTCGGAGTGGGCGGAGCCCGAGGCTCACGCGCTGTGGGGGGGCGGTCGGGACCTCCACTGGGAGGACGCGGCGAAGGTGCTGGAGCTTCTCGAGAAGCTCAAGGAGCAGGCGCAGGTGGTGGCGAAGCGGCTGGTGGAGCAGGTGGACGAGCAGGACGACGCGGGCGTCGCCGATTGGGCCGCGCGCGTGCTGCTTCTCGGCAACTTGTCAGTGGTCCCAGACGAGCCCAAGTCGCCTCGGGGCCAGGGCGACCCTGAGAACGTATGGATCTTCGGTGACGAGCACAGCGAGCCCCGTTGCGAGCTGACCGTGCCGTCGCGCCTCGCGTACCCGTTCATGCGCACCTTCGCGAAGCTCACGGGCGAGTTTCCAGACGCCGCGGTGTTCTTAAGGCTGCTGGAGATGACTGGCTGGGAGTCTCTGGAGCGCGAGGACGGTGGCGCTTGCGGGTGGACATTCCGCGCGCTCGACTTGCGGGAGCGGGCAAATCGGAGATTCTGTGCTTCCTCCCTTGTGCTATCTGGTTTCCGTCTTCCCCTTTCATCCCGTCTCAGGCCACGGGCTGCCTTTGGCATCTTCCGCGCCCCCCGCGGGGGCGCTCGGCTGCCGACGGAAGCTAGAGCGTGGACCGTGGGGCGGCCGATCGACGTGCAGGGGTTTCACGCCGAGGGATGGGTTTAGGGGAAGAAAGGGTGACCTAAATTTTCAAACTCTGAGGTCCGCGTGGATTTCTCGGATTTCGGGGTGCGTTCTGACCAGGATCTCGAGGCGAAGCCAGCGGTAGCGACGAGGGCCGCGCAGGAGGCCGAAAATGGGGAAAACGGGCGAAGGGCAGAGGTATGGATACCTTTTCCTCTTCTGAGCCGACATAGACGTAAAAACTCTGAGGTTCGCGCGGATTTCTCGGATCGGCGCTGGACCCCCTCCCTGGCGCGCGGAGCGCGCCAGGGGCGCCGGAGTCGCCCCCAGGGGGGTCCCAGCGCGGATCCGAGAAGTCCGCGCGGACCTCCGAGTTTTTATGGTTGTGTCACTCTTCGTTCCCCTGGGAAGGTTGGGAGCAGGTCCTGGAGCAGTTGGGGAATCCGGGGGGTGGATCAGGCTCGGAGCAGTTCGGACCCGGTGCTCTCCGTGCCTCGCTGCCACGTTTTTCCCTTTTCCGCAAAATGGTCTCAGGGGCTACGACTGCTTGCAATGTGACGTCCCTATTCTCAGGTCGGGCATGTCCCCTTACAGGCTGATTTTTGGACGAAAAATCAAAAAGAGTCAAACATGATTTGTTTTGTTTCAAAGAAAATCGAAACATCGTCCCACATTTTTTGTTCTTCCATACAATGTTTGAATATTCCTCCTGTAGAGGGTCAGGCCCGACTTGACCCTATTGCTCGCAGCCTTCTCTTCCCTCGTCATTTCTCTGTTCCATCGCTCCATCGGTGGTCCAATGGTAGCCTAGGCTGGCCACATCCTGTTCTTGTATCGGCTTCATTCTGATCCTCGTGCACCGATTCCCCGATCAACGCTGGCACTCAAGGGCTCTGCCTTGCTTCTGTTTGAGCTGCCACTGTTTGTCTGAATTCGAGGCGATTCTTGGTCCCAGCCTAACCGGGCCCCGCCCATAAGAATGGACAACGTGTTTCGCAAACAGAGTCCCAGCCTAACCGGGCCCACCCACAAGGTCCCAGCCCTCGGCTCTCGTCCACACGGCCCCGGCCAATCAGGGTTCAATCCGCATGTTTCTTCTGGCAGTGCCCCACCCGTACGGTCCTTTTTAAACAGGGCTAGGATCGGGATAAATCGCTCCAGAGCGTTCCGGAGCGCTCTCAGAGCGTTCCGGAACGCTCTGGAGCGGCCGCGGCGCCCAATACATCCTCCAAACCCGCCGATTCTCAGAGATTTCGAGTTATCCCGATCCGATTTTGTCCCCATCTTCGTGTCGTTTTACCTTTGCTAAAGACCAAATAGTGAATGGCCCTTGCCAAAGCGAAGTGCCGTCGGCTGCCAGTTGTTGTTCCCCGTCTCGGTCTCAGTCCAAGGGGGGCCCCGTCCGCAGCCCCACTCTCAGGATCCAACCCGCAAGGTTCGTGGTAGATACACCTTAGGCGATGCTTAAGAAAACTTAAGTTTTCGGCCAGAGTCTCGATTATTCTTAACGTTTCAATGCAAATCTTAAGATTATTTCAGAAATGCTGGGTTTTTTTTCAAGTTCTGAGACTATGAATTTCTTAACCCATGATTTCTTAAGCATTTCGCAGGGTGTAGACACGTTTCGCGGATGCCCCGCGCAGAACGTATGCGTGCGACCGCGTATCCGTTAGATCACGTCCCAGAATCCAGACCGCCTGGGCGCGGGTACGCATGCGTTCGCAGCTCGTGAAAAGTCCCACCCGTTAGGGCCCCCACCGAAGGGTCCACGCCCTGGGTTTCCATCCATCAGGCTCCACCCTTGGGGTCTCGCCTGAAGGGTCTCTCCACGCACTCTCGCACACGCGGCTCCGCCTACAGCGTTCCGTCCACAGGGTTCAGCCCAGTCCCACCCACGGTGCCCCGTCAACATGGTCCCACCCATCAGGGTGCACGGCCCCCACCCAGATGGGTCCTACCCATCTGAATTGCACTTGCAGGTTGCACCAAACATATTGCACCCCGTGTGAGGAAACCTCTCAGTTGCGAGCGTTGGGTTGCACCCCAAAGGTTGCTTCCCACACGTTGCACTCACGATAAACAGGTCGATGTATTATAGATCGGTGATCGGTTGATCGGTGCGCCAATCCAGAGGCATCCGCCGTTGCACCGCCTGTATTGAAGTATGCCAGTTTTAACCAACAGGTTGCACCCCATGCTCCGAGTCTTGATGTCCGCACACTGCTTGCACTAGTTGCCCGCCATGTCTTGCACTCGTATGCTGCACCTCGTTGTTATACGGAGGTGCTCAGTTACTCAGTGGGGCCCACGCGCTGGCATGATTCGTTCCTTGTGATCCAAGAAGTGTTTTCGTCGACAGCCTCTTTTTGCGAAGGCCCTACGGCCGGTGCCGCCGACCCTGAAGGGGGACGACGACGACGGCGACGTCGACGACGACGACGCTGACGTGGGTCAGAGTCCTCAGGGATTCTGTTTGGGCTCTTCGGAGCGCTCTCGGGGGCCTCTGGAGGGCAGTTGTGGGGGCCCTTGGGAGCATCTTGGAGGCATCTTCGCGTCCTCTGGGGGCTTCCTGGGGGCCTCTTGGTGGGCCTCTTGGAGCCTCTTGAGGGCCTCTTGGGGGCCTCTTGGGGCCTCCTGGGAGCCTCTCGGGGCGGAGGGCTCGACATGTCCGTTTGGTTCCCCTGTCTTGGCACCATTTTGGAGCCCTCTTGGGGGCCTCTTGGGTAGTCTTGCAGGCGTCTTGGGCCGTCTTCGAGCCCTCTTTGGCCGTTTCGGGACTCGATCGTTGGAGCATCTTGGGCCGTTCTGGAGCGTTGGGAAGCTGAAAAGGCGAGAACACCCAAATCCTTAAAAACATGTTGAAAATACGTAGCACCCCGCAATTGCGGATAAGAGTGAGGGGGCGGGCGCGGGCGATGCGGGAGTCGAGCCGGCGGACCTTAAAGCCTATTGCGTACTTGGCAGTTCTCCTCCTCCTGCTCCTCCTCCTCCTCTTCCTCGTCCGCGTCCTCGTCCTCATCGTCGTCGTCGTCGTCGTCGTCGTCGTCCGCCTCCTCCTCCACCTCCTCTGCTTCCTCCTTCTCCTCCTCCTCCTCCTCCGCGGGTGGGTCGCGGGCTCTCCACCTCCACCTGGAAGGGATTCAAAAACAGCCCGCCGCAGGCGCCGAACATTTTGATTTGTACACTGAACGCGGTTTGGGTCGCAAGTTCTCCACCTGGAACGAATGCAAAAAAACCCGCCGCTGGCGCCGAAGTTTTAGCTTGTTCAGTGAACGTAGTTTGGGTCGCGGGTGGGTCGCGGGCTCTCCACCTCCACCCGGAAGGAATTCAAAATCAGCCCGCCGCAGGCGCCGAAAATTTTGGGTGGGTCGCAGGGTGGGTCGCGGGTGGGTCGCGGTTGGGGTCGCGGATGGGTTGCAGGTTCTCCACTTGGAACGAATGCAAAAGAAACCCGCCGCAGGCGCCGAAAATTTTGGGTGGGTCGCGGGGTGGGTCGCGGGTCGGTCGCGGGTGGGTCGCGGGCGGGTCGCGGGGTGGGTCGCGGGTGGGTCGCGGGGTGGGTCGCGGGTGGGTCGCGGGGTGGGTCGCGGGTGGGTCGCAGGGTGGGTCGCGGGGTGGGTCGCGGGTGGTCGTGGGGTGGGTCGCGGGGTGGGTCGCGGGTGGGTCTCGGGGTGGGTCGTGGGGTGGGTCGCGGGCGGGTCGCGGGTGGGACGACAACAACAACAAACAACAAACAACAACAACAACAACAACAACAACAACAACAACAACAACAACAACAACAACAACAACAACAACAACAATAACAACAAGAATCCGCATCGCGGAATTCCACTTCAGCCACGCACCCAGGGACAGTGAATGACTGTTCGGTTCAGCCCCCTATTTCTGACATGGATGTTGCCTCTTGGGGCTCTCTTGGGAGTGCTCTTCGAGGCCTCTTGGGGCGTCTTCCAGCCCTCGTGGTCCGTCCGGAGGCCGTACAGACGTCTTGGACCGATCGTTCGGCGATTCGGAGTCCTCTTGGACCGTCTTCTGACCCTGGACCCCCCCCCCGGGACCCCGTGGGGACCCCCGGGGGACCCCCCCCCCTGACGGGGAAGGGATCAAAGGGAAGAGGCTTCTTTTCGACTCAATTACGACGTTGCTCAATTTCGTTTCGGCTGGCGCGCCTGAGGAGGAGGCCCAGGAAAAGGGGAGGATGGCGACGGGCCCAGGAAAAGAGAGAGAGAGAGAGAGCGGCGACGGTGACAGTGACGACGTCGACGAAGACGAGTCAAACGGAATAGCCTCTTCCACACGCCGACAGGGTCGGCGGATTTGCGCCTTGGCACCCCATCCCATAGGTTGGCGCTTCACAAGGTGCACCCCGTACCCTGCAACCCTTACGTTGCAGCCCATATTGGGCAGCCGCGAGCTTTCACGCCCTTAGTTGCCCTTCGTATCCACAGCGTCAGGATGAGTCACTGGTTGAGGCGCACGCGCTGGCATCATTCATCGCATATTGTGATCATGTCTTCTATTCCGATATTCTTCGTTCGTCGTTATGTTCCTCGTTGTACGTGCGTTCATTCTCCATCTCCTTCGCCCACCAGCCTGACATCTGTGCGAGTCTGCTTGCCAGAGCTCTCGTTCGGGCTTCGCGAGTGTTGAAGGGTGTTCCAGTCCAAACTACGTTGTCTTCGCATCGGATTCCAGTACGCTTCCCATTCGACACACACATGGCGGATAGGGAGTCTCGCTGGGCACAGGACCACACATTTCGTTGCCCGAGGCGGTCTGCAAGACAGAGCCCAGCTGGGGCACTTGGCACGGGGGCTACATATCGGTCGTTGGCCCTGTCGATAGCACGCA